GCTCCTCTTTTTCTAATCTCATATTTCTGAATTTTTTTTTTCATACAAAACAAGGCAAAAGATGCCCTAACACCCACTCTATCCTGTACTCCGTTTGCTCAACTTTATTGCTTTAACGCCTGCTACTGCTTGTGTCAGAGGGGTACAAGTATCTGGTGGGATGGCTAGGCCAAACTGTGAGCTCCAATTTGAAGTAATTTGCACATAGACTGAAACTAAAGCTCCTGAGTAAGATCCGTTCCTCCTCTGCCAGGTGTTATACATGGGCTAAGAATCAGAAAGGGGAGCAGAGAAGGAGTAAAGTAAGAAGAGTTTTGTGAGAGATACCATATTTTTCGGACTATAAGATGCACCTAAATTTACAGGAGGGAAACAAGAAAAGATGTGGTTCTCATTTTATGAGTCATCATGGCCCACTTTGTGCGGATGTGTATATATAGCCAATATCAACATGCCATATTTCTTAAACCAAGAATTTTTTAAAGAAGAGATGCAAGCATTTCAAGAGGAGAAGAGCCGACAAGTGCCAAGGGGGAGAGAGAATCAAGTCCCTTTTATTTTATTGATTTAGCACAGAAGCAGAGTTTCAGCTTACTACCTTTCCAGCCAAAGGGAAGTGTGAGTCGGTTGCCTTGTTTTAACTCAGCTGTTTCAGATCTATAAATCTAGGTTGTTTTGGCCTGCTTAACCACTGTCAATTCTGGAACAATAAATCTGACATGTGGGACTGTCTCAAGTAGTTGTTCCATGTGCTATTTATTTATTTGTATCTCAAGATACATTCCAGCTTCTTCAGTCAATGATCCATGGGTAGACTGGTTAGATTGCATGCCATATAGCAAGGCAGTAGCAAAGCCAAACTGAACAGCTGCTGGCATAAGAGGAATAGATAAAGTTCAAGGATATCCATAGTAAAGGGTTTAAAAAGTCAAGTTGGCAATCATGACTGTGCAGTTGAAGCCTCACCTCTGTTATACATGTGCCAGTTTCACACACAGGTATTCAACTGTGCACTTGTAATTACCATCTTGACTTTTTCTATCCCTTTTGTAGATGTCTCTGATAAGGTTCATTGCTATCCATCCCTTTATCTTTAGGGCAATTACTTCTTCCCTAAAAGTAAGTTCTTTCATGTTTTTCATTTATTCATATTTCTTCATCTCCCTCTGCAGGAAATGGTCTATCGTGCCACCACTAAAGGACTCATAGAAGGGATCATCTCTGGATACAATGCAACCATTTTTGCCTATGGCCCAACAGGTAAAAACATAGGCTCAGTTCTGACTGAAGATGTCTATTTCATTTTCCAATTAATTGGTAATAACCAAGCTCTGGTTGCTATAGCTGTGGGCTGTTGTAGTCTTGCAAGCATAGATTGTATAGTCCTGGAAGCAATTGGACTCAGCTGAGAAATGCTGCTCCCTCTGTGATGATAAATGCAAAGCAATATTCTTTGCATGGGAAATAGAAGAGGCTAAAAGATAAATAATATTCAGACCAAGTGTTTTAACTTGTGGCTTTTTTCAGTCATACCTCAGTATTGATAGAAGATATTTTTTGTACCTCAGGGTTGAACTGTGGAGTCCTTGGTGCTCTATCAGCTTGGTTGTTTTCTTGCAGATGTTTCATTACCAAACTAGGTAACATTATCAGTACTAGTAGAGAGTGGAGTTTGTTTTCATTTTATATATTGGTAGCTTGCTCTGTGAGAATGGTATTGGTGGTTCCTTAAATGGGCTATTGCTTATGATTAACTTATTTGTTAGTTCCTTGATTGGAGTATTATTTGCTTCTTAACTGTTGGTCTACTGTTACTCTTTGTGTTAATCTCTGTTCATCTAGATGTTGGTTGCTGATGAGATGTTTTGGTCTTTTTGGCTTTTTGATTGTCTTTTTGAATGGCATGTAGATGATGTTGATCTCTATGTGACTGTTGATGGTCAGTTTGTCTGAGTGCCAGACTTCCAGGAATTCTGTAGTGTTTTTTGGATTTGGCTTGGTCTAGGATGCTCATGATTTCCCCGTTTTGAAACTATGGTTAAGTCTGTCCATGTGTTGTGAAATTAAGGAGTTTTCATCATGTCTTCTGACTACTAGTTGGTGTTCATGGATGTGTTCTTCTAATCTCCTGCCTGTTTGTTTGATGTAGTGGCTGTTACTGTCCTGTATATTAGAGATTAGGGGTCCCCAATCCCCGGTCTGTGGACCGGTACCAGTCTGTGGCCTGCTGGGAACCAGGCCCCACAAGCGGCAGGCGAGCATGCAAAGCGCCACTTGCACAAGTGGCAGACACATGCGCTAAAATATCCCCTTCCCGCCGCCGCCGCTTCCGCTGCCACTGCTGGTCCAGAAAGGTTGTAGATGACTCCTGGTTTCTTTTCCAAGGGCTGCTGGGTCTTTTGGTTTACTTAGGAAGTTTTGGAGGTTTTGGTTTGTGTGCTACAGTGATACCATGTGGTACCTCAATATTGTTTGAAAACTGAACTCCCTATTTATTTATTTATTTATTTATTTATTTATTTATTTATTTATTTATTAAATTTTTATACCGCCCCCTCTCCCGAAGGACTCGGGGCAGTGAACAGCCAAAATTAAAAAACATACAATATAAACATTAAAATATTATAAAACAAAATTAAATTTATCTCCCCCAATTTAAAAACCCCTTACCCATAAAATTCACCAATTAAAAGATTTTTAACCCAGCCCGGCTTGCTGAAATAAAGAAGTCTTCAGAGCCCGGCGGAAGGTCTGGAGGTCCAGGATCAGTCGTATCCCTGGGGGTAGCTCATTCCAGAGGGTGGGTGCCCCCACAGAGAAGGCTCTTCCCCGGGGGTCGCCAGCCAACATTGCCTGACCGACGGCACCCTGAGGAGGCCCTCTCTGTGGGAGCGTATTGGCCGGTGGCAGAAGGTAGTCTCGTAAATAACCAGGCCCTAACCCTAGTTGATTAATTGCAGGATAACTGGAAGCACAAAGATATAAATGTCTGTTCATAAACAAAGTCATTTGTTCATTGAACCTTTATTCTGTTCCATAACTTCATTCATAGATTGGCCTACCTCAGAAAACACATTTTTAGCAGCTACTGTAGTGGTTAAAGCACCAGACTAGAAATTGGGAAACTGTGAGTTTTAGTCCCCTTTTAGGCATGAAAGCTCTCTTAGCCTAACTTACCTCAGGATTGTTGTTGAGGGGGAAATGGAAGGGGGAAGGAGTATTAAGTATGTTCACCATCTTGAATTATTTATAAAAATAATAAAGACAGGATTTAAAAAATCTAAAAAAAGAATGCAAGGCTCCTTTCAAAGAAAATGTAATGACAGTTTCGGATCATCCCAGAATATAAATGTTTCCCCATTTTATCAACCATTTTTCTCATCTCTTTCCTTACATCTCAGGCTGTGGAAAGACCTATACCATGCTTGGCACTGATCATGAGCCTGGCATTTATGTCCAGACACTCAATGACCTCTTCCATGCTATTGAGGAGACCAGCAATGACATGGAGTATGAAGTGTCCATGTCCTATCTGGAGGTAGGTCACTTTGAAGGGGTCAGAAAGGAAAATGAATGAATGAATGAATGAATGAATGAATGAATGAATGAATGAAGAATGAATGAATGAATGAAGAATGAATGAGGATAAGAAATTGCTCAGTTATCTTCCCAGGAACAGAGAGACAATCCTTCACTTATACCGTGTTTGATTTCCCAATTTCTGTTAAATGGTGCATGTTTTTAACATGCTCCAAAATATGAGGACTTCACCATTAATTTTTGTGCAATCTGGTGCGACTCACTTAATACCTGCCTTCCTTAGCAACAGAAATACTGGTCCCAATTGCGGCTGTAAGTTGAAGACTACCAGTATACAAAGGGACATGTATACCAAGGGACATACTTCCCAGTAGCTAATTCACCAGGCTTGTATTGAATTCATATTTATTTACACATTAAGTGGTGCGTATCTCCTGTTTTGTCTGAATGGTGAAAGGTTATATGGGACCCGGCCATTTTTGTCTCCTTGTCCAATATATCCTCTCCTCTCCAGCCTCTCCGCCTTTATGGCTGATGTATACTTCATATGGTATGTGGAGATAATTTCCATAGCAACCCATTAGGACTCATACTATAATATTGACTCACATTAGCAGCCTGGAACAAGCAGCACTCAGCAATAAAACAGGAAAGGCAAGAAGTAGTGGCTGGAAGAAAACCCTGAGCACAACAAGACTTTCCTGAAGGAATGAAGGATTCTTTCTCCTCCTCCTCAAGTCTGTCCAAATGTTTGAAAATGGAGTGATCATCTTTCCATTTTGCTTCCGCTACACTTTGGAAATCCAGTCTTTTCTATCTGGCTTCACTCTCAAATCAACTTTCTTACGTTTACATATGTCTGCACCATATTGAATCTAGTGGATGATGTGATTCAGGCTGTGATCTTTGTTCAGCATTTTCAGCAGCATTTCAGATATCAAATCCAGGCTGCATTCAATGCACAGGAGAAGTCATGGTGGCGCTGCCTGATTACCAACTAATCTCTCCAATCCAGTAAGCTATTGTTGATGGGATTCCAGGTGTTGCAAGTTGGTACTAGGACATGGAACCCGAATGTGGAGATGCTTCTGTTCTGTGATTTCCCTTCATAGAGTGTTTAAGCACTGATATTTTGAGCTCTTCCCTGCACCTCCAACAAGATATTTTCCCCCATCTCTGAGAAGAGAAGGATGCATCTAAGAAGGCAGTGACCAAGAAACCAATTTCTGTCTATTCTGAAGCCTACCAGTATATAATTTTTTTTCCAAGCTGCTTATAATTCCCCAGCCTTTACCATTAACATTTTCTTTTGTTCTTTTAATTAGATTTACAATGAGATGATCCGAGACCTCCTGAACCCTTCCTTGGGCTATCTGGATCTGCGTGAGGATGCCAAAGGTTTCATCCAAGTGGCCGGAATCACAGAAGTCTCAACCATCAATGCTAAGGAGGTGAACTGTAATAATAGCAATAGCACTTAGACTTATATACCGCATTACAGTGCTTTACAGCTCTCTCTAAGCAGTTTACAGATTCAGCCTATTGCCCCCAACAATCTGGGTCCTCATTTTACCCACCTCGGAAGGATGGAAGGCTGAGTCAACCTTGAGCCTGGTGAGATTTGAACTGCCAAATTGCAGGCAGCCGGTAGGCAGCAGAAGTAGCCTGCAGTACTGCACTTTAACCACTGCACCACTGTGACTTATATACCCTGCAAAGGTTAAGGGGAAAAATTCATTGTTGCCAAATGCAGTCTTACAAGATATTAATCCTAATTATTACTTTAACTTTCTTCAAGAGACTACCATGGATTTGTATGGATAGCTAGTCTGATCTGATTGAACATCCAAATCCAGTCCATTTGTTTTAAACAACCGGCAAATTTGGTTTTAGTAACAGTTCCTAACTCAGTTTTTTTGTTTCTCACAATGTCTGTGACTCCTTGAACTGTGTTTGGAGGAACATTCTCAACTCAGAATCCCCAGAAAGCATTCTGTTTAATGTCCCACAAATAAAATCAAAGCCTCTTCTTTCCTTTCCCTTTTTAATTCTTGTACTATATTTACGTGACTAGAGTTGGGAACTTCACTTGTTTGTTTTGTCACTTAGTGGGATATAACACACATTTTAAGCTGGGAAATATGACTGGGCTTCTTGTTCGTGGAGGCAGAAGAAGAAACACAAGAGGAAACACAATTGAGGCGGAACAGGAAATTCAGTCTTTTTCACTGTATATTGGTGAAAGGAATTAAAATCAGACCAGTATTCCCTAGCAACTGGTAGCACAGAGATTTCAAAGAACAGACAGCCAAATTGTAATTTTAGCTTGTTCAAAAGTTCATCTCACAAGTAGTAACCCCAAGCAAATGTGCATAACTCTGCAGTTTTAACTGATTTAGTTACAAAAACCACTGCTGCAAATCCTGTGACCTAGCTTCTCTTCAATTAAAGAAGATTGTTTTGGGCAGCCTTCCCCAAGCCATTCGAACTAAAAATAATGAGCATTGTATACCAATGAACCACATGGCACAAGATCAAGGAAAATTTGTTTAGTTAGTATTCACTTCATTGCAACAGGCTTTTGGGAGAGACATATTGAAGTTGCTTTCTTAGCAATTAGGGGAAAAAAGCCTTAGAAAGCCTTAATCAGATCATACTTGGAATACTGCATCCAGTTTTGGTCACCATAATATAAAAGAGATGTTAATACTCTGGAAAAAGTGCAGAGAAGAACAACAAAGATGATCGGGGGCCTGGAGGCTAAAACATACGATGAACGGTTGCAGGAACTGGGCATGGCTAGTCTAGTGAAAAGAAGGACTAAGGATGACATGATAGCAATGTCCCAATATTTGAGGGACTGCCACAAAAAAGGGGGGGGTCAATGTATTCTCCACAGCACCTGAAGGCAGGACAAGAAACAATGGATGGAAACTAATCAAGGAGAGAAGCAACCTAGAACTAAGGAGAAATTTCCTAACAGTCAGAACAATTAGCCAGTGGGATGGCTTGCCTTCAGAAGTTGTGAGTACTCTTATCACTGGAGGATTTTAAGATATTAGACAGCCATTTGTCCAGAATGGTATATGGTCTCCTGCTTGAGCAGGGAGTGGACTAGAAGACCTCCAAGGTTCCTTCAAACTCTGTTATTCTGTGTCTGTGGCTCTTCTTCATCTCTTAGCTTGCTCAGTTGCCCATTTTCTGCTTTCTTGCTCAGTTGCCCCTGAAATTTCATAAAATTCCCCATACTGGGACTCAAAGTTCCCTTTTGCCTTTTCCTGGTGATGGTGTCCTGTTTGTCTTTCTCCATCCACAGCTCCCCGTTATCCTATAGATGGAAGTCATTTTGGCTTGAAAAGTTATTAGAGATAGAAGGCCTTTTGCTGACTAACTCCTGATCAGTGCCGACAATTGCTTTCCATTACCAGGTCTTCAATATGCTAACCCATGTCCCGTCCTCTTTGGGAAAAAGAAGTTTCTGCTTCAGAATTGTCCCTTTACATAACTATTGCTACCAGGGCACAATCTGTTGCAGTAAATCCAGATAGATCTTCTTCCTGGAAAGCGGAGAAGACAGGAGACTATATAGGTTTGTAATTTCACTGAAAATAATACACTATACTTACTTTACTTTATTGTCATTGCACAGTATACATCATACATAAGAAAACTATAAAAATAAAACAAAAACACACATCCTTCACATTCTATGCAATTGAATTGAAAACCCCTGATATTGCATTCATATTGCACTATATAGTAGAATTGAATGTTCTGGGATAGAAGCTGTTTTTCAGCCTATTTGTCCTTGTTTTTATTATCCTGCTTTTATTATCCTATTTTATTATTTTATATACTGCGAGATACAAAGGTATGATAAAATTTCAGAAGCCAAATGCATATTCCCAAAGAACACCCAACAATATGTCTGAATCTTTGGCTTTTGTTCATGTGCATAGGGCTTAGAAAGTTTGAAGACTACACTAAACCTGCCCTTTTGCTCTGTTCCTCCCCCTGGTTCTTACTGGAGGCACATTGCTAACCTACACCAAATAGTTTGGTCAGACTTACGTTGTTTTTGTTCATGTAGATAATGCAGTTGTTGATGAAGGGCAATAAGCAACGGACACAGGAGCCTACAGCAGCCAACCGAACATCTTCACGCTCCCATGCAGTGCTGCAGGTCACCGTGCGCCAAAAGAGCCGCATCAAAAATATTATGCAGGAGGTGCGCATAGGCCGACTCTTCATGATTGACTTAGCAGGCTCAGAGCGGGCTTCTCAGGTATGGATATGGAGGAGAAAAGGCCAATTACCTCAAAAGTGCAAACACACACATGGAGACAAAAGAGAACTGGCAATCGACAGAGTTAACCTGCAATACTGCATTCTAACCACTGTGCCACCACTGTCAGTCATTTAAAAGTCTAATTCTTTAGAGCTTTATCGGAATGTCATTAATGATATAGTTTCCATCTAATATTTGGATCAAGACCATTTTGCATCAATCTTCTCTTCCTTTGGCTCACCATATTTTGTCTTAAGTCAGGAACTTAATTTGATTCTAGATAAGATCTACCTTCCATTGGTTTTTTCCTTTGGTGAAAGCAGCTTAAATATTAGTGACAGAAGAATGAGGACAGGGAAAATATATTTCAATCTGACCTCAGAATTATATCTCAGAAAAATAGGGCTTGCCCCAGGAGTGGTCTGTGTTGGAACAGCAATTTCATTCTCATGTCCATTCTACCTTTCCCACCTCCATAGACGCAGAATCGTGGACAGCGTATGAAGGAGGGCGCTCACATCAACCGGTCTCTGCTGGCTCTTGGCAATTGCATCAATGCTCTCAGTGACAGGACTGGTGTCAAATATGTTAATTACCGGGACAGCAAGCTTACTCGTCTTCTAAAGGTAGACTGTTCCTATTGCAGGATTGGCAAAAAAGCAGAGTGAATAGCCTAAAAGAAGCTGTGTATTTTGAATAGATAGGCAAAACAGAATAGAAAGATTTTTTTGGTGGGTGGGCTGTGTTTGTGACAATATGTGCTTAATTGTACTACCCCTAAAAAGTGAAATGAAATGTTCCAATAAACAAAATAGCAATCTGGTTTGTTTGTTTGGTCATAAGTTTGATACACAGCCTGCTTTCTTCTGAGGTAGAACAGAGAAAAGGAAACATGTATGGCAAGAATAATTTAAACTAACTGAGGGAGATGGGGAAGAGATAAAAGTTGATCTAGTGGACCTATGTAAGACAGGGCAATGTTCACATTTACCTATTGTGCAGTATAGATATGATGGGTCAAGCTACAGTTTCAGGACCTTGGAGAGTTCCAAGCAGATACTGATAACTGTGGCTAAAACTTAAGAGTTCAAATTAAAGCTTTTATAGTTCTTGATCCAGACTCCCAAAAAGTCCATAAGTAAAAGCTGAATATTCAAATACCTAGTATGAAGAGTGTGGTTCCCGAAGCAAACCTGGCTTAAAAAATGTGTGCTGAGGAACCTGCTTTGATAGGATTGGGCTTGCAAGGAAGGTGCCTGGCTAGTCAGATCAGTTTTTGTATTAGAGCTTGGATTTAGAATCATCACAGCCTACCTGGCTGTATGTTCTTCCTTTTCTACAGACAGAGTTCTGACTGCTGCTGAAAGCCCAGTATGGCTTCCTGGCATATATATTCAGTCCTGTGGTTTCTATTTCCAGGATTCTCTAGGTGGGAACAGCCGTACTGTCATGATTGCTCACATCAGCCCCGCAAGTAGTGCTTTTGAGGAGTCACGCAGCACCTTGACCTATGCTGAACGTGCTAAGAATATCCGCACCACGGTAGGATGCCACATTCTTGGCATTTTATTGCTTCTTCTGCTTTGTCTAGAATTCCAACTCTGGGAGGTTGTTCAGATAACACAGTTTGTTTCACCTGAATTCAGACGGTTCTCCAGTCTTCCAGATCTGGTCATCAAAACATTAATTAATTTAGCCTTATCATCAATATATTTTCTAATCAATGCAGGAGCTGGATCTGGTAAGGCAGGAACCAAAATTGGGCACACCAGCATGTAATCATTGAAGAAATGCCTTCCAATCAGAAGGATAAGTAATTAATGGTCAAATTTGAAGAAAATTAATTTTAGGCAGGAGGAAAAGGTCTAAAATTGAAATCTCAGAACAGATAAATACTTAGAACTTGATTCATATGTTCTACAATTAACAGAGTTTATGTATATATGTGACTTCTGTCTTAATCTGTGATAAAGCAACTTATCTAGCTGTGTTATATCACTACATTGTACAGGGTCTCCTGCTTTAGCAAGTTTTAAGCAAGTTCCTGAGTATAGAATTGAGAATTAGGAATCAAGATTTATTGCTACATAAACACATAAGCATGAAATACGTTGGAGACATGGCAATAGCTTAAGATACTGTACAACAAGCTTCTAGACATCAACCTGCAATCTCTCTTTTTTAAAAATCCTTCTCATGACTTAAGCAGAAATTCATTGTAACACTGCCTTGTCCATGGAGCTGATTGAGGAGGATGCCATAGATGGTTGCAACAAAAATGTGGCAAAGAAACCCTTCTTTATGCTCAGATTCAGTTGCCAAAAAAACCAAAAGAAAAGGCCTCCTCATAATTACAATCAAATTACAGAACTATTTGCCCCTTAATTCTCTGTTGGTTCCTTCTTGCCTTTTTATTAGATAGTAGAAAGTCTTGATTTGTCTGGCTCTACTTAATTAAACAGTTGATTTTCTAACCAATGTTTTTATGTTATATATTGATTCTGACCCTTGCATCTTTACTATTTTATGGAATGATCTAGTATTTGAAAAGCATCAGCCCTATAAAGTAGACCACACTAAGAAACACTGTGCAGACCTCAAGTTGTATTAGAACTATAGCAATAGAATCTTGCAAGTCTGAATGTGCTTCCTTGTGTGCATCTTCATGAGAATTAAGAGGGGGTGATGGTGGTTCTGAGATGCTTTCAAACTTACTTTCTTAGCCTGAGTTTTAAGTCTCATTTATCTGATTGTTGCCTTGGTCATGGATCTTTTCTCTATTCTTCAAGGCCATTCTCTTTACTCACTACCACAAGATATTTAATTGTTGTAAGACTCTGGATTAGTGAGCTTTAAGTGGGGCTACGGTGGCTCACATGGTAAGGCGCTGAGCCGGCGCTCCGCTGAGGCCGGCAGCTCGGTGGCTCGATTCCTGTGAGTGAATAAACTGCGTAGGGACAGGAAAGGAGGCTCCCCCGATTGCCTACTGGCATTCGGGCATCCCGTGGGTAAGATAAAAAGTTCCTTTCACAGAGGCAGCCAGCCACTTCGGTGATCCCTGGCTAACACCTGCCATACGCTAAAAAAAAAAGTGAGCTTTAAATAATTAATTAGTCTTGGATGCTGCCAGAGTCTCCTTGCACACACATTCATTCAGTGTAATTTTCTCTCCCCCATCCCGTCTCTCTCTCCCTCTCTCCCTCTCCCTCTCCTGAAGGTGAAGCGCAACCATCTCAATGTCTCCTACCACATTGCTCAGTACACAAGTATCATTGCTGAACTCCATCGTGAAATTCACCGGCTGCAATGCAAAATTGAGCAACAAGAGCCCCGTCCAATACGGTCAGACATCCGGAGTATTCAAGGTAGACTGAGTTGCTGCTGTAGCGTGACGATAACTGTAGAAGATGCCTGGAAGATGAGGTTATCCATATATGAAGTGTGGATAACCTCATCTTCCAGGAATCTTCTCCGGCCAAGCAAGTATCAACAAGGAAAATCACAAGCAGGATGTGACCAAGGACACCTCTTGCTAATGTTCCTTAGCAATTAGGCATTATACAGAGGCATATCACTTTGATGCATGGCTATGCATTATGTGTTTAATGTTAGAAGTGATATGCCTCTGTATAATGCCTAATTGCTAAGGAACATTACAAAGGGGTTTCATTGTCACATCCTAAAGTTTAGCAGACTGAAGTGCTGTTAACTAGCACCAGCTGCCTGCAATTACTACAAGTTCAAATCTCACCAGGCTCAAGGTTGACTCAGCCTTCCATCCTTTCGAGGTGGGTAAAATGAGGACCCAGATTGTGGGGGCAATAAAGTGACTTTGTATAAAAAAGAACACCGCTTAGTGGGGGCCGAAAGCCCTACTAAGCAGGTATATACAAAAGTATGAAGGCTATTTCTTAACGCATTGTAAGCCGCCCTGAGTCTCCAGAGAAGGGCGGCATATAAATCGAACCAATAAATAAATAAATAAATAAATCGAACCAATAAATAAATCCTGTTTGTGATTTTCCTTGTTGATACTTGCTTGGCCACTATTGAGAAATGGGACACTAAAAGATACAGGCTTTTCTCCTGATCCAGCACAATTTAGTTTAAAGTCTTACATTACACATTCCACAAGCATTCCAGAAATATGCCTGCCATGTCATCTTGACACTTGTAGAAAAAAGAAGAAAGGGAAATGTGTATATGTATTATGTATGTGTGTGGGTCATAGGTTGATATTTCTGTTTTACGGATTGTAAAGGGATCTCCTGATTGACAGGTTTGATGAGGCACTGAAAGTTTTGTAAAAGTCAGATGCAGGCAATTAGACAGAAAGCATGGATGAAATAGAAAGGCATGGAACAAAGGGAGCAAAAACTTGGCTCTTCTGTAGCTTCTTTTCTCTTAGCACTTTGGTTGGATTTCCCGTATCAGTTACACTTCTTTTCTCCACCTTCTGTATAGCTGAAGTACAGCTCCGTGGGAATCATTTTGAGAGGCAGGAGATGGATCAGCTCCGGGAACAGCTGATCAGCACCTTTCGGGAACAGATGGATGTGCGTCGCCACCTCATGGAGCTGGAGAATAATTACATGGAGATACAGATTGAGAGCTCTCGCCATCTCCTCACCATTGCTGAGTAAGCAGACAGCAGAGAACAAACAGGACACATTCCTAGGACCTTGGTTGTGTAATTCACTGTTTTCCATCAGTTTATTTTGAGAGCTTAGGCAGATGTGTCAGTTGCCTGTCATTTGCTGGCTCTTGACCATAAGGCATTTCTTCAATCTTTCTTCCTTCCCCTCTTCCCCCTCTTTGCAGTTGGGAACAGGAGAAGACACGTCGAGCGCAAAAGTGGCGAGAGGAGCAAAGAAAAGAGAGTTACAACAAAGATGAAAATGAGAAGGACTCTGACACTGGGGACGAACTCTCAGATGTACCAGAGCCACAGGAAGTGGCAGCAGCTCGGGAACATATCGCTATTCTCCTGGGGGAGCAGGATAAACTTCATAAGCAGAAGGTGTCAAAAGCCGGTGGGGTGGACTGAATATTAGCTAAAGGAAGGGAGGGAAGGGAGAAGGGATGTTGCAACTTTATAGAGTGGAGCAGCCTGCAGTCAGCAACATTCCTCCCATCCGCTATCCATGGCTTTCACTGGCTCTGTGACTCTGTACCTCTTCTCTGTGCCAGGCAGAGCTGGAAAGGCGCTTCTGGGAAATACGGCAGCGTGGGCAGCGGCTAGAGGAGGCCTTGCCGTGGTGCATCAGCTCAGAAGAGCAGAGAGAGGTTCTGAGTTTGCTGTGTAAGGTACATGAACTGGAAGTGGAGAATACAGCCATACAATCAAGTACGCTTCTCAAGGACAACTTCATCCGTCATCAGGAGAGAGCTATGCGTCGCTGTGAGCGCTATCGCAGCCTCTGTCACCGCATCATCCAAGAACAACGACAAATCATTCATGGTATGACTACCTATGTTGCCCAGTGCAGATCAGTTTTTCACAATTTAGTGCCCTCTAGAGGTGTTGGATTCTAATACCCAGCTGGGGAGAATGATTTACTGGGTGGGTAGGTAGGTGGATGGATGGATGGGTGGATGAATGTGTATATCATGGGTACAGGGATACACACACACACACACATACATTCTTGATACAATGTGGTAGAGGGGGGCTCTGTGATCCCCAGTTCTTGCATCAAGGAAGTTGTGTGTAAGAAAATAAAAGATGTTATATAATAATCATCTACTTTCCCAGACTTCTCTGAGGCACAACAGAGGTCTATATCTTTTCTTTCAGATTCACATGCCTTACCTTTGCTTATAATCTATTGATGGCCTCTCTCAAATGTAATTATAAAACCTTTTTGCCTCACAATTTTGTGGCATCCCACAGGATTATGCTCAGGAGTCTGAAACTCAAATCATAATGGGGGAAGCATCAACTGAAGATCACAGTAATGAAGTCTTTTCAAACTAACCTTAGGAACAAACTGTATAGAACTTAATGGAGCGTTTTAATGCTGTACTTGTCTATATGTAAACAAGGGGCATTCTGTTTTCCTGGTTTATCTTTATTGATACTGGCTCTATAAAATCATCCTGAAGGGCCACGTACAGGTCATGAGTTTGAGACCCAGGATTATTTTGCAGCCTGTCACCCTGTCTTAGCCTATTCAATCATGCCATTGATGCTTTTCCCATCAAAAGTATCTGGTGTCTTTCTTCCTAATCATAGCATCTGTCCCATTCCCTTCATACTACAAGGGATTGTCATCTCAGTTGTAGACCAGTGTTGAAGCTTCTGTGGTCTGTTTGCCTCTCTTGTGTGATCTCATTTCTGCTTGCCCTTCTCACTGCCAGAGTCTCACCTAGTGGTGCCATCCCATCTGGAAGAACTGTATCAGGTTTACTTGCATGAACTGGAAGAAGGGGCCTTAGATCGAATGGCAGCCATGAATCAAGCAACTGTTAGAGCTCTTAAGGTACATTGATGTTCTCATTGCTGAAATCCTTTCACCTCACTCAAAAGTAATATCTTTGGGCCTCAGCAGTATCCACATTTAGAACAAACTGTCTGCACCAGCAGAGGAAGCCTAGGCATCCTATTATGCAGAGAGTGACAATTGCAATAGCACTTAGACTTATATATACCATTTTATAGTGCTTTACAGCCCTCTCTAAGCAGTTTATAGCGTCAGCGTATTGCTCCCAACAATCTGGGTCCTCATTTTACCACCCTCGGAAGGATCGAAGGCTGAGTCAATCTTGAACTGGTCAGGATTGAACTGCTGGCAGTTGGCAGAGTCAGCCTGCAATTCTGCATTCTAACCACTGTGCCACCACGGCTCTTACAACCTTGTTGGATATAGCAAATGTAATATTGGGTCAGGGTAGACTTTTTAATCATGGAAAGGGAAGGCCCTCACGTTCAAGTTGCCCATCACCCTTTCCAGTAAATCATTTAGATTATGTGGTAACTATCAATTTTACAGTTCATTCTTTCTTCTGCTGTCTATCTCGCATTTTTTTTCTTCTGAATATTGAGTGAAAAGCTAATTTCACTGATTGTTTTATTCTTGAACCCATCATTGCATTTAATGATATATCCAGAAAAAAACCTCCTGAGTATCAAGAAACAAATCAGTTTTTCCAATAAAAGGCAAAGCAAAGAGTATATAATTTTTTTTAAAAAAAAAAACAACGAAATCCTGTTAAAACATCCTGAAAATCTCTTCATATCATCTTCTATGAATGTTGGACATAAAAACTATTACTGAATTGTACTGAATCCACTTCCAATGGATCTAGTAAAGTGGAATGACTTCGATAGAGGCCGAGAGTATTCCTCTTGTATTCAGTCCATATTCATTCAACATTCATTCATTCCTTGCTCTATTCTTGTTTTTACCATATGAGTTTCTTAAATAACCCATTCTCATTGCATTCAACTAACATTTATGATCCTTCTGAAATATTCAATTTTCACATAAAAATGGAGGCATACACATCTCTTTATATGTAGCAATTTTTGCTTCTTTTGACAGGCATTCATTCCACACATTCTACCCACCATTTGTATACCTTAAAAATTCTCCATTCATTTTCCCATCTTCTACCAATACAGATGGGTACAATTACATCTATTTGCTCTAATTTGTTGCCATTTATGTGAAACTTGCAGTCATTCACTTAATTTTCACTGTCAAACACAACAGTCTTGTAATATATTAGTTTTCAAATGCATATTTCTTCTTGCATCTACAGTCTAACATTTGCTGTTCTCTCTTTATTCAAATACATAGATACATACATACATTCATACACACATATACACACATATTTTCACATCTGAACAAACTCATCTCTAATATTGCATTAACATTCCTTAAACATTGATCCATAAATATATTAAGTAACTTAATATATTCTTGTTTTATGACCAATATTGAACCAATCACTAAATATTCCATTTATTTACACACTTCACTTCTACTACACGCTTCACATATTACCACATTCAGGAATCGATGTTCGATTCCATATTTGTGCAAAACTTTCTATAAATACAACCTATTCAAAATATCATATGCATTTTCTAAATCAATCATTGTGCAATAATCTTTCTCACATTCATACATTTCTCAGTGACTTGCTGAAAAATAAAAAATCGGCATTCTCTTCTCTGCATAAAGCCCTATTAGACTTCCTGGATTTTGCACACTGTTACCTCTCATACCATTTTGATTAGAATTCTGTCAAACATCTTCCCAGACATATTTAACAAATAACCTGTGTATTTTTTTCATTGTTGCTAACTTTCCCCCAGTGACAGTATTTTCCAATGGTCAAGAACAGATGGGCCTTCTTACACATACAATGAACAATAATAATTGCATTATGTGTTTATTGCATATAAATAAACCATTTCCTTATTTTGATATTTCCATTATCTACACCTAGAGCCGTAGAGTTTTTCAGCATTCTCACAGTACTTGTGACATCTTTTTCATCCATCTTTTTTCTTGGACATTAACCTTTGAAGCATTTGTTTCAATTCCACCCTTCACTATTTTTCCCAGAAAAATCTCCAAAATACTTCTTCTACATTAGTCCCATTTCAGTTTCATTTCAAATTGTTATTCATTCCTTCGTTTGTTTTATTATTTAGTTTTTTTAATTTAGTAAGTTTATATGCTGCCCATCTCATCGATAAGGTAGCTCTGGGTGGCTTACAAAATGGTAAAAAGATAAATATAAAAACAGTTAAAATGAAGAAAATGTTTATGTGCAGGAGACTTCTGTGCCAAAGCTTCCCCCGCTCCCTGCAGAAAATATTCTGGACTCGGACCAAGAGAGTGTCAAGACGTTGGGTTCTGAGGGTCAGCAGCTGCCTTGGCGGGATTCTCGGAAGAATACCCTCCCACCTCTTGTTCCAGCATCAGACAGGTAAGAACTGTTCGGAACTCTTCAAAAGGGAGGTAGAAGAGTGGCATTCCAATTTGGATGGATCATCCACCACAGAATACAGGTAGTCCTTGACTTACGACCACAATTGAGCCCAAAATTTCTGTTGCCAAGTGGGACAATTCTTCACTAAATAAACTGTTGTTAAGTGGAAGACTACCTGTATGAAACGTGGGTCTTTGAAAACTCTGGAGCGAAAGGCTTCCTGGAACCAAAGCCAAATTAAGAGAGCGAGTGCAAATTTTCAGACGCATTCAGTGCTCACAGTCGATATACTCCTGTCCCTTTTGTCTTCCATTTTCTTAGATGTTCTGTCTTTCTCTTTCGTGTTTCTCTCCACCACTGCTCTCGGCCTCCCTCCTCTTACTTTGTCTTCAACATTGTCTTCCTTATTTTTCAATTCATAGCCCGACCAGTGGTGGGTTTCAAATTTTGGGTTCTGTGGGTGTGGCTTGGTGGGCATGGCATGGCTCGATAGGCATGGTTTGGTGGGTGTGGCAGGGGAAGGATACTGTAAAAACCCCATTTCCTTCCGATCAGCTGGGACTCAGGAGGAAGAGAATAGATGGGGGCAGGGCCAGTCAGAGGTGGTATTAACCGGTTCTATGAACTACTCAAAATTTCCGCTACCGGTTCTCCAGAACTGGTCAGAATCCGCTGAATACCACCTCTGACCCCAACCCATATGCATCCCCACTTCTCTTGAAATAGTTTGTCATGAAGACCACTTCCTCTTGTTGGAAGGTTGGAAGAACGGGTTAAAAAAACCAAAAACAACCAAGGCCATTCGGTCACAATCAGGATCTAATTCAGATCACATCTCCCAGTGGATAGGACTCCATCGCATAGACATACAGGGCAGGGATTTTATTTTCTTAGTTATTTCTTTCAAGCCTTGTTAGAACTTACAGCACGGTTGTTGTGTGTTTTCCCTTTAAGAATCAGCCTGCCATTGATTTTTAGCAGTCTTGCCAGTTAAATTTGATTGGAGTGGAGACTCAGCAGCCCATAAAAAGGGAGTTTGGAGTTACGTGAGGTCTGTTTGCCTAGTGCTGTGCTGAAATTAGCAAGTACTTATCTTTCTTTTCTCCACAGTGAAGCAGTTCAGGTGTTCAAGGCAAGACCTCGGGCTCGGCAGATGAAACATTCAGCAGTGATGACTCCACCCCCGATCCATGTCAATGGCATGATCAGTCAAGAGGTATGAAGAGTAGAGAAAATGGGGATTGACATGCATATGATGGTTTGATTCAAACAGGATCTCACCACTACAGTAGTGGCCAAAATTGTGGAAACCTTTTGGGAAAACTGTTTTTTTGAGGTTTGATGGCTAATAACACCACTTTTTTTTTTTTTTAATTTCAAGATAATCATATTCCACTGCTGGAATTGCCTGGGAATAGCCCAGACCTTAACCCAATTGAAAATCTATGGAGCCGACTAAAGAAACTTGTTGGTCAGAAGCGACCCAGCAATAAAACCCAGTTAATAGAAGCAATCATTCAATCTTGGTTTCACATTATAACAGCTGCAGAACTAAAAGACTTGGTTCACTTCATGGGAAGACGATGTAAGGCTGTAATTCATGCTAAAGATTACCCAACTAAGTATTAACTGCAATGGTGATAATTTTTGTATATCTCGTTTTTTCTATGGTGATAATTTTTGTGCATCTTGTTTTTTCTACGTGTTTCACTTTCCTTCTTTATACTGAAACTGCTATTCTAATAGCAAATCCTTCATAAAAATTATTGCATTACATTCTTGATTAAATTATCTTTCCATTAATATATAATTTTATGATGCTACTCCCCAAAAAAGTAGTTATTAGCTAGTTTTAGAAAATTCACTTTTCCCAAAAGGTTACCGCAACTTTGGCTGCTACTGTACACTAGGGGAGGAGCTATAACAATCAGGGAAAGCTCTGTATAATTTAATATGGCCTGCCTCCTTTCTTCTTCACAGTATACACCCCAGGAGAGTTTGCTTATCCTGGGCAGCCACCAGAATTCTTCCCCTGACAGCAGCGATCACTGTTCTGATGGCATCTTGATGCATGGAGGTGAGATACAGCATATGCTAGATATTTATTGAGAGCCAGATTGATGTTGTGGTTAAAGTGCTGGATTGAGAACCAAGAGATCACAAATGCCAGATTGGGAACCAGAAGATCATGAGTTTTAGTCTTCCCTCGAACCTAAAAGCCAGCTGGATGACTTTGGGCCAGTCACACTGTTCTGTCCCCCCTCCTCACACAGGAAAATGTAATACCAAGCAAGCCTGCCAATATTTTATTAGATAAATAGATTAGAATTCTTGGCAGACCAAGGTTTTGGCAGCAAACTGCCGAATGCCTGCCAAGATCATTTCCACTCCCATAAAGTAGAAGAGGACTTATCTTCAGTCCGTTCCAGGATTAACAAATTATCCACGAGACAAGATTTTAGTCAATGTTCAGTCCGAAATATATCCAAGTCGAATTTCAGAGATCACGATGTGACTTGCAGGGTTTAACTTTGTCCGTCACAAAGCCTGAAGAGCAAACCCACCCACTTTTATTCCTGGTGGGGCGTGGCTCTGTGACTCAGCTCAATCTCTGGCCCTCCCATGCCTCTTCCGTTGCCGCGCATGCTTCTCCATCCAACGCTGCCTGGGATCAAGCCAGGATTCATCATCCCCGCTCCCTATCAATTGGTGCTCCGATATGCCTTCCTCCTGGCACATCCCAGGCTGTTCCTCCTGGCCTTCGGATGGAACCTGAGGCACTGCCAGAGGGGAGGGTTCTGGAGAGGGAGGCCTTGTCAGTTCCTCCCCATCACCTTCTGAGTCTCTTCCTCTGTTAGGACAGGCTCGGGAGTCGGGGTCACAACACATACTCTCTCAGCTCATGCGGGAAGAATAGGCAGGACCATTAGGTACTCTGCCTTGAGTTGTACAAAATAAAGGCAAGATACAAATCCTATAATTAAATATTGAAAGGTTCTGTGTTTCCTCATGGCGCTCCATGAGTAGTTAGGTTGCTAATAGTCTGCAGCTGAGACCTATTTTATTGACTTACTGGGAACTCTAACTGCCTCACTCTTCCCAGTTACCCATCAGATCAGAAAAAGACAATGCAATGAGGGCCTCCCTCCCACTTTGAAAAGACCGTAAGCTGCTTTCTGGCATTTTCCACCCTTTCCTTTTTCCTGCCAGGCCGCTGGCACTCTAGCAAAGGGAATCCAGGAAAAGCTTTTAATTTTGCTACATGCTTCCACCTCTGGCAGAACACAAGGAGATGGCGAGCGGCATCAAAAACATTGCAGTGAAGGCTGCCCGGCGTCGTTCACGAGTCCTGGAATCCGATAGGCTGAACCTGCTGAAGCCAACCAAGGAGCTCAGCAACCTCTCCCTCCACTCTCTGAGTGAAAGCGAGGATACCCTTTGCCGGGAAACCCCCGCCCTCTGCCAACCCGCCAGTCCCAGCCTGCAACATGCCATCAGCGAGGACAATCTGTCGAGCAGTACCGAGGATACTGCTCCTGGGAGACATGTCCCCAGACGCTCCCTTGGTCCCTGGCTCCAGGTTAACAAAAAGGGAAGCAAGAAACTTGAGAAGAGGGAAGAATCACTAGAGGCTAAGAGGAGGAGACGGCGTTCACGCTCATTTGAGGTTACTGGACAGAGGGTACGTCTCCCCTATCCCAACACTATAATTAGCTAAGATTAAGATTTACAGCAAAACAGTCAATGACGGTACCTTGGTGGTTTCCCTTCAATAGCTGAGGGCCAAAGCTAACTCCCATCAGGTTGCTTCTGCTATAATCAAGCATAAGTAGGAATTCACTAGCAGGCTGCATCAGAATCCCAGTGCTGAGTTTCTCCTGCCATCTTCAAGGTCCACTCAGCAAGCCTTGGAGTGAACTCTTGTCCTGCTACGGTGATGCTATCCAGTGCCCTAAGCTGATTATTTCTCCTAATAAACTCTTGATTAAATGTCCTAAGACGTAATAGTCTTCCTCTGTTTTCTCCTAAAGGCAGGCTGCAAAAACTCACGTGAGGTCCCTCTCAATTCTGAGATCTCAGAAACTACATTAATGAATTATTAGTGCAATGAGTTAGTGCCCTGATGGCGAACCTATGGCACGTGTGCCACAGGTAGCACGCGTAGCCATATCAGTGGGCATGCAAGCTCAGCTCCGGTGCGTATGTGTGTGCCGGCCAGCTGATTTTCGGGCCTTCTGGGCCTACCAGAAATAGGGAAACAGGTTGTTTCCTGCCTCTGGAGGGCCTCGGGAGGGTGGTGGGGAAGGCCCATTTTTCTCTCTCAGCTGGCTCCAGAGCCTTTCTAGGAGTCTGGGGAGAGCAAAAACAGCCTTCCCCACCCCCCTGGAGGCCCTCTAGAGGCCAGAAATGGCCCGTTTACCAACTTCCAGTGGGACTGGAAGGCCCGTTTTTTGCTGTCCCCATCCTCCAGAGCCTCTCTAGGAGTCTGGGGAGGGCAAAAATGGCCTTCCCTACCCACCGGAGGTCCTCCAAAGGCCGAAAATGGCCCATTTGCCAACTTCTGGTCCCACCAGAAGTTGGCAAATGGGCCATTTCTGGCCTCTGGAGGGCCTCCGGGGGGGGAGGCCCGTTTTCACCCTCCCCAGACTCCTAGAAAGGCTCTGGAGCCAGGTGAGAGAGAAAAACGGGCCTACTGGGCCATCACGTGCTAGGAGCAGGGGGGTCATGCATGGGAGCGGGGCACATAGAATTATGGGTGTGGGCACGTGCACGTGCACACACCCCCGCCCCCCCTCCTGGAACGCGATGGCAAAAAGGTTAGCCATCACTGAGTTAGTGCAATGAATGTTGCTCCTTCCCTAACTACAGTTCTCCTGAGATCAGCATAGGGAACTTTGGGAACTATAAATGACAAGTTGGAATGCTGCTGAAAGCCCAGTGGTGCAAAATCAGAAGCATAGGAACTATAGAATAACTTCCTCTGAACTGGTTCCTAGCCGAATTCTTAATGTATATCCCTCACAGTCCTTAGTAAGATCAACTGGATAGGGCTGTGGTAGTCATGCACATCTGGAGGAAGCAAGTCAGGAAAAGTCAACCCATCAATTTGACCACTTTTCCTTTCTATACCAAATCAGAAAACTGGTCTTTCAGAGTACATAACTGGCACACCATCTCCAACACGTACTTCTCTCTGTTCCAAACTGGTAACTGGTAAATCTTCCCACTCAAATCTTCCTTGGCAGAATGTGTGGTGGAACATAGTCTGAATTCCTGGGAGGGAGGGGTTGCATTCCAGAGGAACAAGAGACAGTTAAGTTTAGATAGTTTGGTCGGGTGGAAGAGTGTTAAGACTGCTCCTCCCTAGGAGTTCTCAGAGGTTATATTTAATGGTGCAAGTAGTCTGCTTCTGTTTGGCAAAAGTTCTGTTTATAGGTGAGGAATAATAAAGCAAACTGCTTAGAAGAAACTCAGAGTGTTTTTCTTGGTTTATGGATCCTAATCTGTGCTTTAATAATTCAGGGTGGGGTAAAAGAGTTTCCTTATTCCTGAAATACCCTCTGTACCAGTGTATTCATCTCTTGCCCCTGGCAGCTCCAGGGCCCAAAGAACAATGCCTTTCGACGACATCCCCTGGAAAGCAGTTCTGAGCACAAGATAATGGCAGCAGGAGGGATGCACAATATCCGTGGCATTGGAAGAGCTGCTGTGCAGTTGTCCAGAGTGAGGCTTCTACAAGTCCAGCCTTCCTCAGGTACGCGAGCATCAGCCAAATCACAATTTTCTGTTATTGCTCCTCAATGCAGCAAAGTCTCTGATGACTGCAGCAGAGAATTTGAACGTCACCACCTTACAGAAGATGTCTGTCCTGCAGCTGCACATACTAGATCTATCTCTTTTACTTTAGAGCAATATGTCTGGAATCATTACCAGCTTGCCTTTGAAGGTTGAAAGCCACCTGTAGTGGTGTAATGATCAATACTAGAAACTGAGAGACCATGAGTTATAGTTCTGCTTTAGGTACCAAGCCAGATGGGTGACTTGGGGCCAGCCGCTCTCTTTTTCAATATTAGATAATAGCAAACCACTGATGAAAACATTGGCAAAAAAATTTTGCAGGGACCAGTCTAGTTGCCAGAAGTTACTTGAATGCGAAGGGAGGGAGAGAGGGAGGGAAAGAAAGAGAGAGAGAAAAAAAAGAAAAAGAAAGAAAGAAAGAGAAAGAAAGAAAGAAAAGAGAGAGAGAGACAAAGGGTGGGAGGGAGGGAGAGGCAGAGAGAAAAAAAGAAAGAGAAGGAAGGAGGGAGGGAGAGAGAGAGAAAGAAAAAGAAAGAAAGAAAAGAGAGAAGGGAGGGAGGGAGAGGGAGAGAGAAAGAAAGAAGGAGGGAGAGAGAGAAAGAGATAGATGATAGATAGATAGATAGATAGATAGATAGATAGATAGATAGATAGATAGATGATTAGATAGATAGATGATTAGATAGATAGATGATAGATAGATAGATAGATAGATAGATAGATAGATAGATAGATAGATAGATAGATGATAGATTGATTGATTTTGGGGATGGCACAGCTGTACTGAAGGTCAGCCTAAGGAATGATAACTGTTAAGGGGCTGTGCAGTTATTCCCCAGCTTGTGATGTAGCCATGTACAAACCCTAATGATTGTCCTCTTTTTCATTTCTGGTTTTATTCCTTCAGGTCCCAGTGAGGCATCCTCTCTTTCTGTTGCTTCCCATCAAAGTGGCATCTCCAAGAAAATAAGCCAGCCCAGTCAGTACCCCCCACGCTTGAACTATGTCACAGTGAATGGGACAAACCCTCCTGGCAAAGATGGAAAGAACCGGCGATGTTAAGCTCTGAAGGGACACAGGGAAGTTGAGATGCTCCAGGGAGGTGCATTTGATGGCCAGTCAGAATACTGTGGCTAAAGGCATTAGAGAGAAATAGCTAACTTGAACAGAAGGCCTAAAAGCTTGCCTGGTGGGGTGCAGTGCTGCTGCCAAGAGGATTTTCTGGCCACAAAAAACTTTTAATCTCCAGGACTAGGTTCCCCCAAATTGAAATGAGTAGTTGTCTGAATGGGTACACAGAAGGCTGTCACCAGATATATCCAGTGCTGTAATACCAAGATAGGTGTGGAAGGTTGGTTATTGTGCAAACACAGCTCTTTAGTTTTTAAACTATGTGTTAGAGGAGGACACAGTGCCACAACATTGGTGTAACCTGGCAATAAGATGATATGCTGTGTGCATTTGCTGTACTTTTGCATCATTCCAAGGCAAATAATTTCAACATATTTAACTAGCACCTTTCTACAGTGACCTTCAGAGGAAAAGGTTTGTGGACAACATTTGAAACCACACTATGTCTGCCTATGGCCATGATTCTCTACTAAGGGGGCTGTTGTCAATCAAGCATCATCCTTAGTTTCACGACTGGGATATACTTACCTTTGGGGTTACATGGATTTTTAGATGATCCTTTAACTGGGCTGGATGCAAGAATTGTTTTTCCAGAACAATTCACTATTGCTTTTTTCAGCAAGTAATTTTTTTTAAAAAGTATGTGATGGAATCCCAAATCTTGCCTTTTGTATCTCTCTCTGTAAGTAAAGTGGGACAGCAAACAATATCCAATACCACCACCAGAGTATTTCCAGAATCCTTCCAGTCTCTTGTAGTTTTTGTTGCAAGGGTCCTTTCTTGCAATATGTGTGATGCTTCATATTATGCCATCACAAATATCTGTTTACAACAATCTTGAACAGGTTTGGATATATCATTGTCTAATTCACCTCTACTTTATTTACTGCCTAATTCTAATGATTGTAGATTTCCCCACAGGATCCAGCTGTTTTTGTCATTCCACTTTCCCAATTTCCTTTAAAAAAAATCTGACTTCATTTTTTTCCAATTGGGTCTGTTTACCTTTCTCAGTTAGCAACCCACTGCTATCTCTTCTTACATTGGATTTGTTATGATGGTATTTAGGTTCAGTCACCAAGTTCACTGGGTACCAGTCATTTAGTCACTAGTCACACTGGCTGTGCTAAAGGCAAGATTACAGTGGAAACATGGAATTTAAGAAGCACGAACACAGGGAAACTCAACATAGTAAAAGATTAAACAGCTCAACTACATCTTGATGTCTTACACATCAGTGAATTGAAATGGTGTGGAATTGGATAAAGACACAAAAGATGAAGACATCAAGAGGGAATAAAAAAAAATAAAATTTAAAGACCAACAAGAAGAAACAGACATTAAAAACAGAAACAGACACAGAAAACAAAGTCTCCAAGAAATCTTCCAACTCTCAAATCCGCATGCGGAAGGAAGTCAATAGACAGCAGTAACTGGTTCAAGTAAGAACAAAGATGGAACTTCTGAAATTCTGCATACTAAGGTTGTCAACATCCAACACATCTTAGAAGACTCAAATCCGGCCACCATTTGTGCAGTAGTCAAATTTTATGCTCCCATGGTGTTAATAAGGCAAAGCCAATTGAAGAAATAAAGACTACTATTTTCATCAACATCTTATTCAGTTATTTTTAAAATAATTTTAGAGGACATTTAGTTTAGGGTATAACTTTAATATATTAGATTTGTTAGTGTTAGGTAAATAAATATTATTGCAATAGGGATGTTCAGAGTATACCACATTTGATTTACTTTATAGTTGCCAATATATAATTGTACTTATTTCTTTTTGTTGATCTTGTTTGTATTTGTTATCTTCTATTCCCTATTTATTATTTTATGTTGCTGGTAATTTACCAAGTAAAAAATTGTATTGTTGTTAGAAGATATTCTGATTTTAAAAAAAGCTCTAGCACTGAAAGATAAAGTTGGTTTAGCACTATTGTCATTACCAAATCAGAAGGCTTCTGGAATTAATGGAGTATTTGCAGAAATAATGCAAGCAAAGAAGAATGTGTAGATGTTCTAGCCAAATTATGCCAGCAAATCTTAGGGAATGACTCAGTGGCTAACGGATTGAAAGAATACAGTCTTTCAGGAGTGTGAATACAGGAGAATTAACAGTGTGTGCAAATTCATAGTTTCTCATGCTAGAAATGTAATATTTAGGATCATCCAACACAGATTACAGCTGTACATGGAAAGGGAAATGCCAGATATTCAAGCTTTTTTTTCCCCTGAAAAGGCATTATTGCTGATGCATACTGGATTTTTGAGAAAATCAAAGAATTCCAAGAAGCCAGTGGTGGTATTCAGCCAGTTCTATCCAATTCAGGCGAACTGGTAGCAGCGGTGGGAGGCTCCACCCACCTGCCCGGATGTCATCACATCCTGTTTTTGACACTCTGCATATGTGTGCGTGCTCATATTTGGAACCGGTAATGAAGGTAAGTGAATACCACCCTTGGAAGAAGCCAATATGTTTCAGAAAGGTCCTCAGCTGTGTTGACCATATGAAGCTGTGGGGTGTCCTTAGAAGAATAAGAATCCCAGAATTTCTCATGTAAAGTTTATATATAGGGCAGGAAGCCACAGTCCGGATGGAACGTAATGAAAGTCTGATTTAAAGACTGAGACAGACAAAGCTCTCCTTATATAGTCAACTTACATGTTGAATATATTTTAAGAGAAGCTGGATTGAAGAAGATGAGCATGATTTTGAAATTCAAGTACAGTGCTGGTGGCATTACTCTAATGGTAGACAATGCAAAGGCTCTGGGACCCCTAGTAATGAAAGCCAAGGAACATAGTGAAAGAACGATTAAATATAAAAAAAACAACAAACAAATTACAACAAATACAGCAACTAGCCCTAGAACCAACAATGTAGACATTGAAAGAGTGGATTACTTCTGCCTTTTAGAACTGACTATCAGCTGTAAAATCAGCAGTCAAGAAATACACCGCCGATTCACACTTGGTAAGGTTAATAGTAAAAGTCTTGGAAGAGATATTCTGATATCAAGATGTATATATACTTACAAAGATTGGTTTGTTTTTCATTTAGCATGTTAAAAAGGCCCCATCCACAGGCATCATCTAGCCATGTTGTCTTATACTCTAATTAGGAGAATATTACAGAGAAGGAGCAATGACGGTGACAAGATGAGCTTGCCACATTTGCCATTTTTAAATGGCGATTAAAGAGTTTTAAACCAGGAGTAAGCAATGTGGTGCCCACTAAATTTTTTGCAGTAGTTACTTAAGATTATTTGGAGTATGTGGTATTAGGAGATGGGGATCTTAATCTGAATTAGAGGTGTGTTTTTTTTTTAATGGATGTAGCTATGATAGACATTTCTGATTTGCACAGGGCTGAAAAAATATCGTCCGGCCATTAGTTGACATACACTCAATCACACAGTGTAAAAAAAATAAATTGGTTTTTATGGGCTGTTTTTCAATCAGTTTTGTAATATTTTAGTTACGCTTCCTATTCCACATAAGATTTACAGTTCCAATCTCAAAATAACTCTGTAAATTTTGTTTAAAAAGCTATGGACAGTAGCAGTAAACATAGGACAAACAATGGAATTTATTTTATTTTTTGCAGAACTTTCTATGGTTTCAAAAATCTGCAGAATCTCCATGACTAAGGAGACAATAGGCCAAGTAACAATAACACTTCCAATACAAAACTAGCAGAAATCCATATTGCAGAACCATGTTCAACTGATTCAGGGAACTACATCCTAATTCACACATAACATTATCTCCATGGAAATTCCCTGCAGTTGGTATGTAAAGTACTAGAGGAAGCAAGGGAAATCTGAAGGTAGACAGAAGAATAACCACACACCAATTTCAATCTAATTCCAAAGGGGTTTTTCTGTCAGGATATTTCAATCTAATTCCAAAGGGGTTTTTCTGTCAGGATATCAGTTTGTAATTATCTCAAGGGAACAAAATCTCATGGGGAAACAAGGGGAACATAAGGCAGCTTCTAATTAGGTGATAAAGATCAAAAAAAAAAATCTATGTGACATCTTTGATAATTACCTATTCCAAAGCACCATGAGAATCTCCAGTTCTACCTGAGTCTCTTCAAATGGGAGGGAGTTAAAATCTTAAGACAATGGAAAGACAGATAAGAGAACCCTCCACTCCCTGATTAATTGCCTTTTAGAAAACAAAGTCCTCAGATTCAAAGGAAGCTTGTTTTGTACAATGAATTATCAGAGCTTCTCCAGCAGGGCCAATATGACTTAAAGATGCAGAGAGAGCCTGCATCAGACACTTTAATACTGAATGGTAGAATCGCTGCCATCCTCCAATGCAACCAGCGGTTCTCTTCCCATGATGTGTCCAGTTGTGTCTTCCCCATCTCCCTTCTACTTTTTGATCTTGATGAGTGAGTGGTAGACAGGCTTTACAATGATATGCAAATGCAAAGAGTTGTCAATCAGGTATTCGGAGGAGCGTTTCTGCAAGTCGGCATATATCAGGAAATCGGCAACTTCATCTGTGCTCTGGTGGAAGTTATAGGTGTGTTTGACAAAGAGTTTGCCCTGCTGCCTGACGCCCACCAGAATGGTCTTCTGGAAACTGACGCCTGCAAAATCTGAGCTGGTTGTGGCTGGAGTGATAACCAGGCGGGGACGTCCATCCTCGATTCTGATAGGTTGGATGGCTCCAGAGACCGAGTCGGAATAGACAGGACGTAGGCTCACCGGGAGCCAACGAGGAGAGAACAAGACGTTCCATGTCACTCTCTTGGCAGAATCATGGTTGCTGGGGCCTAGCTGGGTCTGGAAACTGGTACTACGGTCATCTCGAGCAGGGTTATTAATGACCCACTGGGACCCCCAAGAGAGGGAGAGGTAGTTACGGGGCAGGAACATACTACAGTTGACATCAAAGTATTTGGCAAAATAGATTGGGGAAGCTGAATGGAACTGGAAGGCTTGGAAGAGCAGATCTTGCACAGTGCTGTAGTGTTTCACCATCACAGGAGACTGTTTCTGCAGGTGGAAAAGATGGCTAGGGGAGATCATAGGATAACGCAGGGATCTCAGGATCTTCTCCACTACAGGGTCCTCAGGCTGATATGTGGTAATCCACTTCTCTACACCTGCGTACAACTCCAGTTCACTTTGGAGGACTAGGTCAGACCTTTCAAGCAATAGTAGCAGCAACTCTAGGCTTACAGAGGCCCATTCAGGACTACTCATGACAGCAGAGAAGTTCCAGGCCAGAAACTGGAGGCAGCTCTCCTGCAGAGCCTCGTCACCGATCCCCACTGCGTAATGGTACCATCCCACCACATGGCCTTGGCTTGATTCACTAGCCAAGTGGCCCCTCATATACTCCGCTATCCCTCGCTGCAAACTGGACACGTGGTATTTACTGGCTAGACGATGAAGTGGGATGGCTTCGTGGAGGAATATGAAGATCTCACCACAATACAGATACCTAGAGAAAGAAGGCAATGAGAATCTGTCTTTTGTGCCAAGTTAAATAATCATCATGCCTACATTTTACAACAAAACCTCCCTTTTAATGAGGACAAAAGAAGTGGTGGGATTTATCTCTTTAGCCATCTACACAATCCCCTAGTCAATTCAGCACCACAAGTAAGTAGTAAAAGTAGTATGCATTTCTTATAAGTATCAAATCTGGATGTGTGTCCATTGCTGGGCATTTTTTTAAAAAAAATTATCCAGCCCATCCACATGTGATCGATATTGCTGTGCTTATTCTGCTTAAGCGAGCAGGAGCAGCTTTACTGTGATGACTAAAGAGCCACTTCTATCTCACTTCCCTCCTCCCAACAGATCCGCAATCCCAAATTTAAAGAAGAGAATTGTTTCCATACCCCGCCTCCCCAAATCTTCTCTTGCTATTTCTCTAAGCCCTAATAATCTAGAGTTGTGCTGCCAGGTTTTATACAATTGGTCATAGAAATGGGAAAGATGACCTTTCGGTACAGCAGAAGAATTCCCATTTTCCTGCTGCCTAAAAGAGAACAGTACTGAAAAATGGTGACAAATGACCAGCAAGAGAAAATGCTGTGGCAATCTCAAGCAGGTAACAGGAGGGCAGGTCCACGTCCCAGACTTACATGACTCCCTTCAAAGCTATTGATTAACGCATTGTAAGCCGCCCTGAGTCTCCGGAGAAGGGCGGCATATAAATCAAATTTTAAAAAAGGGAGGGGGTTTAAACAGCAAGTGGAAAGCGGGAAGCCCTGGAAGAGCCAAGAGGGGTGTAGGCTGTTTCACAATGGGCCAGGAGGTGGAGTTGAACCCAATGTTGCGCTCATAACCCCTAGAACGAGCAGGATCGTGTGATACTATGGTTAGTGAGCCAGTCAGAAAAGCCCTTCACCTCTTAGCAAGCCATGTTCTCAAACCTGTTTATCGCTGACAATGTTTTATTCAAGGTCATGTCAACAAGGTCAGTAGGCATGAGGGAGGGAAACCTGAAAGAAAAACTCTGCCTTCAGAAATCCAGCACCCCTCCTTGTATGGAGTCAATGAAAACAAATCATACACTAACTTTCTAATCCATGGAATTTCCCTCCCTCTCTCTGTATGAAGAGCAGACAGGGATGGGCTTCAAAAATTTTAGCAAGGAGTTCTCTGCCCAGTTGCTGGGTGGGTGTGGCCATGGTGGGCATGGCCTAGTTGGCCTCCTGCACCGTGGTGGTGGGAGTGTTTTTGCCCTCTCCGGGCTCCAGAGGCTTTCCTCGAGCCTCTGGGATGGCGAAAATTTATTTATTTATTTATTGGTTCGATTTATATGCCGCATTATATAAAATAGCCTCCCCAGGCTCTGGAGGCCAGAAACGGGCCTGTTTCCAGTCTTCCCGAACTTCCAGTAGGCCTGTTTTTTGCCCTCCCTTAGCCTCCACGCACGCCCTGCACTTATATGCATCCAAAACAGGCCGTATGGGGACTCCTGGGAGGGGCAAGGTTGGATGGGTGGGACAAGCCAAGAGTGGGATTTGGGAGTTCTCCAAACTGCACAGAATCTTAGCTAGAGGTTTTCCCGAGCCCCCAGCAGGCCACCATCCGTTTACCTGATGAACTTTTCAAAAAGGGCCACATTGTCAGGTGGCTCGTGTAAGTCAAGCACCGTCTGGTTCTGCAATAGAGTCTCAAAGGTCTCGCTTTGTAAGCTGAGCATCAGCTGGTGGGTGTGAAAGACTTTAATTTCATCAGAGCCAGCCGTGTGGACCCTCAGGGTGGTGTCGCTGGTGTTCCCGTTGAGCAGAAGCTCTTGAAGCCGCTTCAGCAGTAAGTGTGAATGGTTGATGGTAGCCGCTGTGGGATCCCCAATGGCATCTGCCTTCTGGACTGCAGTTGACAGGATCAAAAACAGTGCGAATGGGCAGTGAGATTATTCAGCCAGGAAAGTAGGACAGAAGAAATGCAATGCAATAGGGACGTGTTGTTATTAATGTTTGGTACAAGTCAGGAGTTTGTCAACAGAATGTGATAGGATACCTTTGCAACCAAACTTTGTTACATATCCTCCTATTCAAATCAGTTTGCACCAAACTTCATGCAAGCAAGAAAGAAAACAAATAGAGCATGGCATATTTTTTTTCTGTGGCATTCTACCCACCCAGGGTTCCTCTCTATGCAGCTAAGACAGTGGTTCCCAACGTGGGGCCCACGCCCCACAGGAGAGGGCAATTTGATTTTTAAGGGGGGCAATTTGGAACCTTGTTTAAAGCAAGTTAATGGCCTTTTCGGCTTCCTCTGTGTGAGAAGAGTTCACTTTTTGAATAGTAAGAATTAAATGTCATGGCGGGGGGGCATCAGGATTTTAGACATGCTTAGGTGGGGCATGGCCAAGAAAAGGTTGGGAACCACTGAGCTAAGCCGAAAGGTAAACATTCATTTTTTTTATTTTTTTATTTTCTTTATTTTGTCAAGCATGTATTAGATAACTGATATAAGAGAAAACTTGATTATGAATATTTATTTATTTTATTTTTATTAAATTTCTATACCGCCCTTCTCCCGAAGGACTCAGGGCAGTGTACAGCCAGAAATAAAACCATGACAATAGAAAAATTAAAAACAAGTTAAAACAATTAAATCAATTGGCCGAAAATTCTAAAAAACAACCCATTAAAATAGTAAAAATATTATTTAGGCCAGCCCTGCTTGTTGGAATAGTAATGTTTTTAGGGCACAGCGAAAGGTACGCAGGTTGGTAATCCTACGAATCTCCGGGGGCAGCTCATTCCAGAGGGTAGGGGCCCCCACAAAGAATGCTCTCCCCCTGGGGGTCGTCAGCCGGCATTGTCTAGCTGACGGCACCCGGAGGAGCCCCTCTCTGTAGAAGTGTACTGGTCGATGGGAGGCTATCGGTGGCAGAAAGCAGCCTCGTAGATACCCAGGGCCCATGCCAATACATGAAATGGATACGAATAAAAGGGAACATTAGGACAGGGACATTAGGCACGCTGGTGCCCTTATGCACGCCCCTTACAGACCTCTTAGAAATGGGGTGAGGTCAACAGTAGACAGTAGACAGTCTAAGGTTAAAGTTCTGGGGGTTTTGGGAAGAAACCACAGAGTCAGGTAGTGCATTCCAAGCATTGGCCACTGTTATTGAAGTCGTATTTTCTGCAATCAAGTTTGGCACAGTTTACCATAATTATGTATCTATTGTGTGCTGAAGTTTGAAAGCTTTTCACAGTAATGTAATTACTCTCAGTAACATTTCCAGCTAACCATGGTTATTTACTTTGTCTAGAGGTCTGATGAGCATTAATTGGGGTCCTTGGGCCATCAAACATGTACCCATCTGTGGATTAGGGAAAGAAACAAAATTGCTCCCTAGGTTTTCCTAGGTTTACTTGTTTCCTTTCACATTGGAGAAAGGCCAATGTGAACCTACCAAACAGAGCCAAGATTCTTGTGCAGAGCTTGGCAGTTTTGGGCATCCTTGTTGTTAGACAATTGTATAGCTTCCACTAGAATATTCATGTGTTTTTGCCTCAAAATGATGGGAAACTTTGCTGCTGAGTTGTAGCCATTGGGGCTGGAGAGAATCTCCTGGCCATGAAAAGGATCCTCTGGGAATCTCAGATCTCAGTTTACTTCTGCCTAAAATCATTGTGAAATCCAAAACCATGGTGTATGGGGGGGGAAACCACAAAGGGGAAAAGCACGGAATGACTCCAGCATTACATCATAATTTATCTGCACAATCAAGCTTCCTATTCTTCTAAGTGAGGCTTGAATAACTACCAGAGAACACCACATTGCCCATCAAATTAAGTTGACATGCTACCCCTCACGTAAATAAAATTTTAAAACAGCTCACAAACAGAACAGCTTCCTTACCTAAACTTCAAAATGATTCTGTTAGCTAGATATATCGCTCTGTTTCTGGGTGCATTCGCTGCTATGAAACTCTGTGGTAGTGTTTGCTGGTGGTGGGGGACAATAATGACTCCACTTGAATTGGTGTAAGTGAATAATAGGGCCCCAAAGATGGATATTGCTTGCAGTGTCTTCATAGGATATGCTGTTCCTTATTATGGTCATTTATCAAGAAGCTAGAGAGCCAGTTTGCTCTAGTAGTGGTTAGGGCACCAGCTAGAAACTGGGAGACCACAAGTTCTGGTCCTATTTTAAGCACAAGGTCATATGGGCAACCTTGGGTCAGTCCCTCTCTCTCAACCCTAAGAAACAGGCAAGGGTAAACTATTTCTGAAAATCCTTGCCAAGAAAACTGCAGGGATTAATCCAGGCAATTGCCAGCAGTAAACACTGATTCAAAAGCATACACAAATCAAGCAGTTACAATCTTCTCTGCATGTACAAAGAATCAAGGATAGACATTTTTCCTTGTTAAAATCCATCACAATTTCAGCATCTCTTAGCTCAAAGCTACGAGAAATATTATTTGCAGAATAACGATAATGGTCAAAGCAATGTCTTGTCATAAAGCTTTTTATAACCACTTTGCTTATATGAAAGGAGTGATGTTGTGTTGGATATTGACAATGATTTCTGAATCACAAGGAACTTAAGTGTTTGTCCAACATCTTTTTACTGGAGTTAAGAGGAGATAATCCTGTGTTATGTATTTCTTCCAAGGGCTGTGTTTTTTTCCAAGGAAATAATCATTAGACTTTGGAGAAAGCAACCTATCCTTGATTTAATGTAACAGTATAAATGTGTATGCATGCATAGTATAGGTGTGTTTGTGATAAGTACTCATTGATGCAGGGGGTGAGACAGATATAAAGAATAGATGTGAACCAGGTTAGAAAGCAAGGGACTGTGAGTTCAAGTCCCACCTTAGCCATGAAAGCCAGCTAGAGCCACCTTGGGCCATTCACTGTTACTCAACCCAACCCACCTCACAGGGTTGTTGTGAGAAAAATAGGAGAAAGGAGGAGGATTAGAAAGGAGGAGGAATAACCTTCAGTTATTCATAAAAATAATAAAGGCAGGAAAGAAAGAAATGATATCTGGGCTTGACAGGCTATCTCATGGCACATTATCCATTTATATCATATGATGGAAACGATCTCTGATGCTCACTCTTTGAAATGATCTTCATTTGGTGCACAAAACAACACTGTGTTTAAGGATGACTCCAATCAAGGGATGTGCTTCAGTGGTGGGTTCCTCCCGGTTCGGCCCAGTTCTCCCGAGCCGGTAGCGGTGACGATATGACGTCACCGAACCGGTTCTGCCCCCCCCCCCCCTCTCCCACCCCCCGCATTATTCTTACCTTTTATTTGGCCCCACCCCCAATCTATTGCTGCCTCTTGAGTCCCAGCTTTTGGCTAGATGGAAAAAAACTGTTTAAACTCTTGCCACGGGGCTTCAAAGGGCCCTACAGCTGATCAATGTTAAAAGAAAACAAATGAGTAGATCAGTGCCTGCAAAAATACATGAGTAGATCAGTGCCTGCAAAAATAAATGGGTAGACCAGTGCCTGCAAAAAATAAATGAGTAGATCGGTACAGCTCTGCAAGCAGTTAAAAGCATGGTAGACCAGTACCTCTGCTAAATCCTAACTAATTGTTACATGACCATCAAGCCATGCCCACAAAATAAGCCACGCCCACAGAACCAGTAGTAAAAAAATGTAGAACCCACCCCTGATGTGCTTAATTCATTGACTTTAGAACAGGGGTGTCAAACTCGACGATGGGGGGCCAAATCCGGCCCATGGGGTGCTTAGATCTGGCCCGCGGGGCTGCCCTGGAAACAGCAAATGACCAGTCCGCGGTACCTCTGCCAGTGAAAATGGAGCTCATGGTTGTGTTTGACCTCGGGGAGGGGGGGGGGGCATGGCCAGCTCAACATCACTCCTGTCAGGGGCACCTGTAGTGGCCCAAGACCTCTGTAGTAACAGGCTCCTGAGCTCCATTTTCACTGGCAGAGGGTTGCAGGAGGCTATCACAGCTGGAAACAGAGCTCGGGAGCCCGTTTTCACTGGCAGAGTGCTTGTGGCACTACAGGCCCCCCCGACACGAGTGATGTCGAGCTGGCCACGCCCCCCACACCTTCCCTGCACCCCAAAGGTCAAATACAACCATGATGCAGCCCTCAATGAAATTGAGTTTGACACCCTGCTTTAGAAGATGAGCATTAGGTTCTTATTTACATTTATTTATGCAACCTATATTCTTGGACTTTGAGAAGTTGCTGTAATCATTTCTAGATCTATATAAGTGAACCCAGACGACCGGCACATTCAGAGTTTTACTGTGCCTCACCATGTCTAGCTTATTGCAATTTGGGATGGCCTTTTATAATTACACTGTACTATAACCCCAGATGGTCTGAAGCTCAGGAGGATGGCAATTACTCCTGCTATTCCTTGAGGGTGTCAGAGCAGGCACGTTATGAGTCTTGGGAGTTGGATCTCAGCCTCTGGCTCCCTAGCCATCATTAACTCAATGAAATCACTGCCGTCCAATGAATTAAATGCTTGCCCCAGGCCAAGATGTGTTTCAGGGCCACCCTGGGGGAAAGAAAGCGGAGCCTGTTCACAGTCTCCGTCTCTTGGCTTAGTTCTTGCGTCCAGTCGAACTTGGGCAAGTGATAAAAGGGTAACATTCAATGGCAAGTAAACAAACTCGCTTTCTCTCCCTCTCTCTCAAGGACAAAGAGGCACACAGTGCGGTGGGAAAAAAGGCTCCTTAAAGAGAAAGGCACCCAATGTGGTTATTTCTAGGAAAACATCACTTTTGTTGAAGTCATTTCAAAAAGAAAAGCACTGGTGACTCTTCGCTCCAGAGAGGAGAAGGGAAACAACCACACAATGTCCTCTTTCAGCCTCATATTGTCCATCTCCCTCTGCAGCTCTTTTTTGTGGGCTTCCACATAAGCCGTATTCCAGATTCGTTTGATGTTTATGTGAGGTGCTTCCTGCATTCGGCTGTGGGGAAATTGATACGCTTGTTTCGCAATGAGGCAGAGCACATTAATGAGGCCATTTTCTCATTTTAACCCTGACTTCCAACTCCCCACCTCACCCCACTTCTTTGTTCAAAATTGAAGAAAGTTCATGCCTTTGGCTCGCCACAAAGTGCTAATAGCTAACATTTAGATTGTCAAAAAAAATGACTTAAAACATAAAAACACAATCTGATTCCCAATATCATCGTTTCTTTTCGCATAGGTGGTGGCAGCACAGTAAATACAGTCAAAAGATAACTCCCAGTCATGAATTTTTATCCATTCAAACTCCCATCCAGCTGGTCTATCAACTGATTCATCCCAGACTTTTCCTTTTGATTTTCTTGCACCCTTCAGTGCCAAGCAAGTCTGGTTTAGATTATATATTTAAAAAAATCTTTATCTCAGCCAAAGGATTAGCTTCCTCTAGAAACAAATCCTGCTCTGATCAAGCTGAATTGGAGATTGAAAGTAAAGGATGCAGCCTTTCCGAACAACATGAAATCCAGCAGCAAAAAGGTACCAGAGGTTATCCGTGTGGTTTGCTATTGTTGTTGAAACCCCCTTTTCTATTTCAGCCATAATCCAAGTGGCTGTCGTGAAGGCAAATAAGATACCAAGGCATGTATGCTCTTTCCAGTACAGACCTGTTAAATCAGAGTTTAAAGACCAAGTGAGTTGCTAGGTGAAAGCTAAAAGGGTCAGAGTTTCAAAGCTATGAGAATCCTCACTCTGTTCAAGTTAGATCTGAAACCCTCTTGATAGTCTGTTCAAGCCACACACATTAATTTGACTTGAGACTATTGCTCTCTCAAGGAGCTTTAATAGTTAGAGAGCAAGATCACGACTTCTTGGTCTCCTGTATATAAAGCTAAGCGCTTTTCTAACCTTGGAGTCAGCAGTGTTGGATGCTTTGCTGTGGAATAGAAAAGGCCAACTCATTCCTCTTATTTCCTCATGCTGAAGTTATACGACCGTCTAAGGCTACAGTATTTGATTTTTTTAAAAAAAATCTATTATAAATGCATTGCACGTGGCTAACACACTTTTGGAGAGCACCCCTTAGAAAAGCCTTTGCTGATTCTGATGTTTCTGCAAGAAACATTCCCCCTTCTACTGTTTTGGGGTTTCCACACTCATACCATGCACCAATGTGACCCCCATACCACCTTTCCCAGCAAGTTTACCTGGAGTGTTCTTTCCCAGAAGCCTTTCCTCTTACCTGCTTGGACAGCCAGACACAGCAGTGACAGGGCAGCCAAGAAGCAGGCCCATCGCCGGGGTGCAGTTTGCTGGGTCCCTAGTCCTTTAGCCATGGCTTTTTTTCCTGGAGAAGGTCCAGAGAAGGAATAAGCCCTCATCTGAGCGGGCTAATCTGTCTGACTCTTTATGTAGGACACTGACTCCCCCGGTCCCGCTTGCCATTGATTGGTGGAAAACTAGTAACAGCTGTTACCAAGGAAACCGGTTAAGATTGTGAATGGATGCCTTTGGGGCATTGTGGGACTCCCAGGCGGTTGGCAGAGTCTCCCTGAGGAAGTAAGGCTACCTTGATCCCTCAGCATGCTGGAAGCTAAGCAGTTGAACAAAGGGCATCCATCTTTTCGCTTTTGCTTTTCTGGTATCTCTGTTTCAAAAGTTAGAAAAGTTCTTTTCTTCCCAACACAACGGTCCAAAAATACGGAAGATAGAAAGAATGTTACAAAGGAATGAATTCTCTCCCCAGCTTTGATCTTTGCATATTTTATAGGGGGTAGATGGGTCTGTTGTTATCAGCTGACTGAAGGTTTGCAGCAGAGCTTCATAGAACACAGAATCATAGGGCTGTAAGAGATCTCGGTCTTGTATCTAATCCAATCCCTTGCCCCTTATATCATCCCAGTCAAACGGTCCTCCAGTCCGTTTTTGAAAACCTCCAGTGATGGAACATTCACAACTCCGGAAGGCTAACTATTCCATTGATTAAGTGTTCTCACTATCAGTAAATTTCTCCTTACTTCAGTTTTTCTCTGTTTGCTAAAGTATGGGATATTCTGCTCTTTGACATTTGTTTGTTCCAAAAGAGGTGCATGTCACCATATAATAGTCTTCAGCGAGCAGCCTAATTTTCCAGTGACGTCGCATAGCACTCTAGATAAATCTGACATACTAATGAACTAAACAGTGATATGAGGGTATTTCCATAGTATCGCAACTGGGCAGTATCACAGAAGGGGGAAAGAGAGTGGACTGTGTTACATATGATTATAGTATCTCCCCTGCAAGATATATAAGTATATGACCTTACTACCATACGCTTAAATATACTTACTAGCAGGAAGCAAGAAAAATCTGGCTTGCACTCTGAAAGTTGCAATTCAGCATCCCAGCAGAGATTTACAGCGTCCTGCACTATTTCAAATTCATAAGGTTATTGGCCTGTGTAGCCAATAAAGACTTCAGTGTACTGTAATCTATTGACTCAATGCTTGGCTAATAACTTAGAACCAGGTTTATCTGTCCACATTATAGGCAGTTCAGAATATATCAAAATTAGAACAAAAGAAGAGATAAAAAAATTAAAATTGGCAAGTCTATGCATCAGTGGTGGATTGCTACCGCTTCGCCCCGGATCAGGTGAACCAGTAGCAGAGGCAACAGGAGGCTCCACCCACCCTCCCGGATGCTTTGGTGCATGCGCAGAAGCGTCACATGTGCGCACGCATGCGCTCCCACGAGCAAACCAGTAGCAACGGATTTTGAAACCCAACCCTGCTATGCATAGGTGATGCTTAAGGCTTTTTCTGGAGGGTATCCTAACTTTTCACTCTCCATCTATTCTCTTTTCAAGAAAACAGAGCTCCCAGTTTGGTGATCAACAGTGTGGGAAAGATCCAACTGATTATATCTGCTCATGCAGAAATATTATGTGAAAGGAATATGAATCAGCCATAAATGAACTGACCTGGCATGGAACTTCTTTTATCAGTATTGAATGGGGAGAGAAGAACCCATATTCAAATTGCCAGTTGACCAAGGAATTCATTGAGTTATGAACTGGATAGATAGATTATAGATAAATGATAGGTAGGTAGGTAGGTAGGTAGGTAGGTAGGTAGGTAGATAGATAGATGATAGATAGATAGATAGATAGATAGATAGATAGATAGATAGATAGATAGATAGACAGACAGACAGACAGACAGACAGACAGACAGACAGACGTACAGACAGACAGAGGGATATTCATGGCACAGGCTTGGGTTACTTGCTGGACCACTTATTAATTCTGTCCATCTCATAAGATCCAACTGGTTGGATATGATCCAAGTCCTTTCTACAAAACAGTCGTTTATGGGACCCAGCAATTGTGTTTTTTCTGTCGTGGTGCCTGCCCTTTGGAGATACATACCTCTGCCCCAAGATTCAAATAATCCTGGTTCTGTTGGCCTTCCAGAAGGTCTTTCGCCCAGGCGTTGCACAAGGGTGCTGGATGAACCTGTCTGATATAGCAGAAAAATGACTGATTGTGGGTTGGCCTCAGCTTCTTTTCCTTCTGTTGTTTGCATTTTGTTGCTTTATAGTTTGGTTTTAATCCAACACTGGTTGGATTAAATCAGGTTTAATCCAACACTGGTTTTAATCAGAGTTGCAATTTACAAGTTGAGTGGCTATAAAAATCTATTACATGCATGCATGCATTCATTCATACATACATACATACATTCATACATACATACATACATACATACATACATACATACATACATACCATGGTTTTTGTTATGAGAACAATATAAGGAAAGACCCCCATATGGACTATGCTAAGCTTCTCAACAAAAAATAGTATAAAAATTTGGGTCTAGGACAACTCATCACAGCCACTTTGTCACCAGACATTGTAATTCACCAATTCAATACTGCATTAATGATTCCATTCAGGTACTTTTATTATTGATGAACACGTTTTCATCAAAATTATTGTAACTCTTGTATTTCTGGACTGATTTTATTTTATTATTATTGGCCACTGTTAAATCAAAATTAATTTAATTTTTGCATTTGTTGAATTATTCCATAGCGAGTTGGCTGCAGTGAGTTGGTTGTGGCGAGTTGTCCCATTCTGTAAAAATTCTCTTGAACCATTTCAGCTTTTTTGTATCAGAGCTATCTCCGTTATGACATTTTTACCAAAAGTCGTTCTCTCTCTCTCTCTCTCTGTGTGTGTGTGTAATTATGTCAGTTTTTCTAGTTGTAATTTGTCATACATTCTTTCATGTTTACATGTATACAGATTGCCGTTTGGACTTTGTTCAGAGAGGGAATTCATCTTCATAGTAAATCATCGTATAAAGCTATCCTTGTTTTTATCATGTGTATTCTATATGCATACTGTATGTTCAATTAATGGTAAAATATTATAGATGGCTTTTCCTCCAGTGACAACCAATAAAGTGCAATTTAATCAATAAATTAAGCTTTATCTGAAGATGCGTTCTTAAAAGCATACCCTGTATAATGGTTGGGTAATTTAAACAGTTGCAGTGGGAAAATTGGTTTTCTTTTTAAATCAAAAATAATGTTGTGGGGGGATATATTGAAGCCCTTAAACATATCGAGTAATCTGTTCACTGTTTCTTCTTGCAGTGTTCAGAACTCACTGGATTTTTATCATTAGTTGTTTTTTTTTAATTTCATTATCTGAATTTTCTCAGTGGCCTAACAGTGCCAAAGAGCGAAATGTCTGTGGAACCATGATGTAAATGTGAACTTCAAATGTTTCAAATGATTCTGCTTGTCCTGAGTTATGAAAATAGCTTGACTGAGATGGTGGGAAAGGAGATGATGGCAGGATGGCCCAAATCTGGACAGCGAGATGGGAATCAAACTATCGGGCCAGACATGAAAAGCTTGCACAGGAGGGGGCAGAGAAGAGTTTACACTTCAGTTGCTTGCTTAATTCAACCCAGATGTCTGCATAAATCCAGACAGCTACTCAATAAATAGGAACAAGCTAATATTTCCCCAGCTGTGACCAAATTGGATGTATCTCAGATGAAAGTCATTGTGTTTGCCAGAGCATGACCCTGGGATAGATGAAAACGAGGCTGTGCTGAGACAGAGGAAGAGGAGGCCCCCTCTGTGTGACTTTCGCTGGCAAAAATCCACATCCACAGCAGGGCGACTTCTCTTGGCCCAGCAAATGGAGTCCCATCCTCAGAACCAATCACCCCTATTTAGCAGTCTTGCCTGTATAATTGGAGCCTACTCAGCTCCTAATCATTCTGTCAAGGGGTTTTAATATGGTTGTAGAAGTAGCCCATTATTCTTGTAATATCCCCTCTTGGTTCACCTGGCAAAAGACTCAACGCTACCCCTAGAGATGTTCCTACATTATATATAGGCTCTGTGTGTCTAGCTTTCCATTCTGAATGACCATAGAATTGTCATAAGTATAAAGGGTCATGGATAGATTCTTGATGGAAGAATGTATGATCTGTTATGGGAGGGAAACAATAAGTGTCCTGGGAAAATAGAAAACGCAAGAAAGCAAGTCCAAATTACTCCACCTTGATTCTTTTCTTTTATGTACATTTATGTACATTGAGAGCATTGAGAAAAATTTCTTGTGTGTCCAATCACACTTGGCCAATAAAATTCTATTCTATTCTATTCTATTCTATTCTATTCTATTCTATTCTATTCTATTCTATTCGGCAGAGAGAAGCTCTGGAGGCTTTCAAGGTTGATGTCTGAAGGTGACAAGATCAGGAAACGTATGCCACAAGAATTACAGGAACACTACTTTATTATTTAGGGTATGATAACAGAATCTTGAAAGCTTGCTAAAGACACTATTTTATGTGCAAACATCTTTCCAAGCAGGAGAGAGTTCAACCAATAGTATGTTGATCAAGTTAGAATATCCAACCCCTTATAAATATATTTTTAATATACATTACGTAACAGAAATTAAATGAATGGATTGATCTACTTATTAGTTTCTAATATTGGACACTTGGAATAGCTAAAGAACATAAAATGATAATTACTCTTCAGTGATTTTCAGCCAATATAGTATGGCAAATGCTACATGGACTTTGGATCATCTGTTAATCAAATTCAGAAAATCACATATTTATAATAATATGTAAATATCTTTAAACTCAGCAGTTAATTGGGCTCCAAGTTAATTGATTTCATTTGTACTAGAATCAATGTCTACATTTGATTAGTAAGTTAGTAATACATTTTATTCTTTTTTTTTTATCCCATTAACAGTCACTCAGCCAATAAAACACCTGTGTCTGGAAACCACATTTTTAGTGGTTCACATTTATATAATTAAATATCTAAATTTCTCAAGTGATGTATTCTCAAATCAGAGAACTAATAAATTGAATCAGTTATCTCCTTACCCACTGATAATCTCA